TTTAAGGTGAGAGAAACACTTTCAGATACTCCATTTTAAGGCGATGGATATTTTTTTTTATCCGATAGATGCAGATAATTTCCTTGTGGGTGACTGATACCTTATCCTTTCTTGTCGGCGATAAATGTCAATATACGTATTTCTTATAGATAAAAGATGTCTTTCTCTGAAGTAATTTTTTCTTTCTTTCTTTTTTGGCAAGATGCCTTTGATTGGATCTCTTTCTATTAGGTAACGAAAACTTTTTCTTTAGGCTGTTAATTCCTTTCTGTCAGATACTTTTCTTTCAGGTAATGAATATGTTTTTTTTTTTTTTTAGATAAGTATACTTTTCTCTTAGGCAGTAGATTTTTTTCGGTAAGTACACATTTCATCTTAGGTGTTAAATTTTTTGTTTTAGGCGAGAAATTTCTTCCTCATAAAAACCTTGCTTTTAACTAATTGATAGTTTTTTTCTTAAGCAGCAGATGCCTTTCTTCAAGGTGATAAATGTCTTTTTTTGCGAGATAGATACTTCTTTTCGGCGTTAGATGCCCAATCTATAGTTTTTTCTTTTGTTTAGATCAATGTTGTTTTTTACTTGGACTCATAACTTAAAATATTGTATTACCCTCATGACCTTTTTTTGACATCTATTGTACAATGGTCAGTAGTATTCTTTAATGAAATATCCATATTGCACGTAATATACATGCTTCATTAATACTTTCTGTGTATGTAATAGTAATCTTTCTTCATTTCTCTCTTCCATTCCATTCTTCCATTTCTCTTCTCTGAGTCGACGACTTTAGCAATAGTAGTCACACAAGGTAATTAAAAACCATTGGATTATTCATACGTATAATTTCATGAATGTCGTAAAGTCTGCGACAAAAAATGCATCATATATGTACAAAGCAGTAGTAATCTGTGCAATAAAAATCTCGTTTTTCATGTTACAAATCAGTACAAAAGGAAAATAGTCCTCTTTATGAAGTTAGTCACACTTAACTATATTCTAAGAGTTTGTTGCTCTTAAACGTAAACCATTCATGACGTTGAAATATGGAAAAAAGGGAAAGAAAAGAAAGGAAAAAAATAAAATAATATTACATGGAATGATAACTTTGACATAGGCTTATATATACTACATGTTGTTTTGATTACAATGAGGGATGAAGATGGACGTCTCACGGATGCTTCCAAATCGTGTCTCGTCCAAATCTTATCTCTAGTCTCCATGCTGGTAAGCTGACCTCTTTATATTTCAGTGAATTATTTCCCCATTTTGTCTCCGTTCAGTTTAAAGGCTTTGGAAGCATCTGAGAAACATCTATATTGTGGTAAAAAATAATTAACCTGATGATCAGATGAAGTGCTGCATTTCAACAGTGCTATGACGAGCTAGCCATCCATAACACATTGCTTACCTGATATATCTTAATGATCATAGAATTAAGGAAATCACCGACTTATCATTTTTATTTATTGAACATCTGCTATGCGATTTTTTTCTGTCTTATTTTTTTTCCTACGGCGACGTTATCTGGTCAAAGGTTGATATTGTTGTTGTTGTTGTTGCTGTTGTTGTTATTTCGGAACATCCTGAATGACCCTATTTTAGTAGGGAAAGGAAATAAGAATAAAATATAATGCTGAAAATACACTGAACCAGCAACCATCTAGCGGTAAATATTTCAAAGATGTTACACACACCAGAACCTAAGAAACTTAATTGAGAGTACTGAGTTTGAGAAAACAGTTATATATACTGTACGTTTGTAAGTATATATATATATACATATATATATATATATATATATATATATATATATATATATATATATATATATATATATATATATATATATACACATATGTATATATATGTATATATATGTGTATATATATATGGATATACATACATATACATACATACATACATACATACATATATATATATATATATATATATATATATATATATATATATATATATATATATATATATATATATCACTGCCTTTAACAGACTTTGCCTGGGTTATTTTTTTGAAGTGGTAAAAAGTCTAAGTCACTAAATTAATGGATTGGATTAGATTATCGTTTTCACCGATTAATGAAAGTTTGTGCTATTATATTTTTTTTAGCTAAGAAATAAGTAATTTGGCCCAAAAGGAATCTCAGGAATCATGAAGATTCCGTTTTCATTTAAGTTCTTTCTCCAGCTCTATATTTTGGTCTCATATAGTACTGGTCACCGTAATAACCTGAAAAGCACTCTGTGCAGCATCTTTGTACTCAAGATGTTTTTTTTTTTTTTTTAAGTGGCCTATATGCTGGAGCCAAGGCAACCATAAGTTGTAAATTATGAAATACTATTCAAAAGCAAACTGTTAAAAATAAATCATATACATTTATTGAGCGTTTTCGAGCGCTTCCACGAATTTGAGAATTCTAGTGATTGGGCCTAGTTTCCTTCTTCCAATAATATCAAAACATAATATTCTTCTCAAAGTCATTACCACTTCAAAACAGCCTGTCGAGGAAAGATATAGTGAGGCTACTCATGTTAAGGCAAAGTTAAGTTAAAGGACTTGGGAGAAATAGTGGAACACTGCATACTTCATATAGACGTGTAATGTGTTTGTTTGAGGCGTAAAAGGATGGTAGCAGAAGCTGACGGGAAACGACGACGGCGTTCGAAGATTTCGGAAAAGGAGCAAATGTGAGATCTGAAGCATCTTGGAGAAACGTTCGAAGGAGATTTTGACAAAAGAGCCATTGGACTTGGAGGACAGATGCTGCAGGTAGCCTTGAGAAGTATTCAATAAATCAAAAAGCAGAAGGGAAGGGGATTATGTTAGGGGCAACTGTCAGAGGTTGATATCTGAGGTAGGTGTTAGAGGTAGGCGTAGGTGTTAGAAGTAAATGTTGAGGATGATTAAAGTGCGGAAGATAAGGGCAGTGCTTTTCATGATATCTAGAGCAATACGTTTAAATCATACAACATACAACATACATGATCCAAAAAATACACTTGTGGGTCGAAGAGTCTACATGAAAAGCTGGCTTTGTGCATAAAGTCTCTCCTGTTTTATTATTATTTTTTAAAAATCATACATTGTATTATCATAATTAAAGATAGAAGATACAGTGCCACTTACGCTAAGAGAAAAGGGATGTACGGGAGTCCTAGATGAGATCGCTCTATGGCATTGGAGGCTTCGTAAATAGGGATGAAGTCTCGCGATCAAGGCTAAGTTTGTAAGAAAATAGACTCCACAGACATTAGTAAAGAGACATCACGATATGAAGGGAAGAAACGGCATGATATGAGAAAAATACACCGAGAATGAGAATGCTAAAATCACAATCACAAAGGATTGTAAGGGTTTAAATGTCTCTACATTTATATTGTTTTCACACGAAATCTGATATGTCTTATTACGTAAATATATTCTGGTAGTTTCTCGAAGCACAAATAAAAAATAGACAGTGCGTTTAAATGGTTTAATTTCATAAGCTGAAGATCGGAACCGTGGTTATGATGAATGATTAGTTAGCTGAATAATTAATGAGATTATCTTCTAACACGCAAGAGTATAGTATTACATTGGCAGCTATAGGTTACTCTTTGTCCAACCGTTACACACGTTTGAACTCGGCTGAGTTTGAAAATCCCTCTTGCTCATTGGTTAAGCATTCCAACCAATCAGCAAGCAGCATTTTCTCGTGATCAGTGTACATCTGACCTTGCATTATTGTCCCCAAACACTCTGACACTTATGCGCTAGTAAGTCACAATAATGAACCATGAAGAAGAAAAATAAACCGGAAGGATAAACAGACTGGCGGGACAACATCAATGTCGAAGCTGACGCTGAGGAGAATATTTCGAACACTTAACTTTACTGTGAGGAAAAAACTACATAAAAATAGAAAATGTTTCTTTGAGTACCCATGAGATATATATATGTACAGATGAGTGTTCAGATTTGATGAGAATGGGTCACTGTGTATTTGGAATTTTCTAACTCACTAAAATGACGTTGAACATCCAAATTCGCTTTCACAGTCCCGGTGTTTCATCAAACATGAACATCCATATTAAATAATCAGAATCTTTATGCGTTTAATTTAATTGAAATCTAGTCCCTTAAGCAACATCTACGGGCCAATTGTATGTTCAGTTGTATTCAAACCGACTTGTATCTTAGGTATGATTGCACACGTCTTCCTGTATCGAAAAGAAATGGGAGTGATATGGTTGAAGGATATTCTTGAAGGAGATTCAATACAAAGAGTTTCATTTTCTCTATTGACTAAACAGTAATTCTTGCTGCATCTTGATACCGCAGCTCCATTAGTCTACCTTAAAATACATATTACAGCACTTTAAGCCTTTTTTTTTTTTGTTAGTTGCCGCCCATCGTAACTTCGTTTACATCCATTCCTTTGTTTCGCCGTCGTTGGAGCTGCAAAACAAATGACCACTGCCTGTCTAGCTCTCCAAGCCTCGCGGAGCCAAAGAAATGATTCGCCAGCCAGCCTCGCCCAACTCCCAAGCTCCTCTTCCCTCACGCCCTTCCGGAGGCACCCTCGTCCTCAGGCCGCCCCCGCCCCAACGTTGCTCTTTCCGCGGAGTCGAAAAAGAGTACGCCATTTTGGTGTGTGCATTAAAGAAAACGGAACTCGCGTGGCAGTGTCCTCCCCGCGGCGCCTTCACCACACGGAGCACTTCTTCTTCGGGTTCATCCTGCTCCCGACCGGGCAGTCGTAGGCCCTCGCGAAGTCCTCCGAGTTGGAGAGCGGCCCGAGGACGCGGATGGGTCCAAGGGAATGCACTGAGGACCGGATCTTGGAGAGGGCGTCCTCAGGGCGCATTGTTCCACACCAGATTCTGGCGTAGTTCAGGAAGAACAGCTGGTCATGGTTGAGTTTGATGCCGGGGAGCAGTTTCTCCTCTCCGTTCCTCTCGACCCACTGGCGATAAGCCTGAAATGCGGGTGAAGTAAGTA